GCTAAAACGGATACAGACCTGTCTACCATACTATGTAAAATATATTGTATCTATATGATGCCATTTTAAGGAATTAACTAGTTAATAGCCATATTGAGCATGTGCATACCCATATTAAGCACATTTCATGCAATAGCTGACAGGGAAGGGGCAAAGCAGTGAAGCTGTCGACATCTTTTTCTTCTCCTCCTCTTTACTGAACAGTGGTGGTCTGCTTTACTGGGGACGGGGAAGGAGGATGCTGGTGGAGAGAGAAAGAATTAGGCAACTGAGGAGAGTTGAGAAGACCGTTAGGTTGGAAACTGAAGAGAGTGAGCAAAGAGGAGTGGAAAGGACCTTAATCTAGAAGGGAAGCTTTCAAAGCGGCTTTCCATAGCCCGCTCAGTGCTTCGAGTAGTGTTTTCGGGAACAAAGCCCTTCCTAGCTTCAATTACAGCACTTTTCTCAACTTTCCTGAGGCGACCGTTCATCATGGGCCTTTAAAAATTAGGAAACCTTCTTATCTTATTAGAGGATGACAACTATGGACTTAAAATTACTTCTCTTGATCAATTCTGTTTTACTTTATTGAATTAAATTTTATTTTAAGATTATTTACTTAGGACAGGTCCGTTATCTGCAGATATCAGACCTGTGGTTAGAAGAAGTCAGGATATCCTAGATATAGACCTCGCAGCTCCTTTGAGTGACATCATAAATATACGATATGATACGATATTGCCTAAATATGAAGAATCGATATTTTTATCGATAAGGTATGAAGCCACACCCATTAACTTTAATATTACTAAAACAGCTCAATAGAGCTATTTCTGAGAACAATTATTATTGAAAAGTATTATAAAAACCTTCTTTGACTTCATATACTTCAGCTACTTCATTTACTTTTCAAGAAAATACATTTTAGTAATTTTGGAGATGCTACTCCTATAGTTAATTAACCATTTATTAAGGTTATGTAACCATTTTATGGGCGTGGTATCGTTATTGATATTTTCTACAAATTTTTTTAACCACTTACCTTCCTTCACACAGGTGCAACATCCTGCAAACTCTAATTACTAGGGGCACAACTCGGAGAGTGGGGAGGGTGTGCCGTTGGGCGTGGCTTACTTAAACCACACCCTGCAGTGAAACCCCTCCCACATTAATTAGGGGTCTTAAGCCCCACCTATGGGAGGAGTCTACTGATTAATTGCGGGGGTGGTCTGGTAAACCAACGCATCACACTGCAGTAAACCACAGTGGAGAAGGGGAAGAAGGAGGGGAAAGAACAGAAAGACTTGCTAGAAGGCTCAGAGACACAAGACTGCACATAAGACTGCAAGACTGGCTTGAAATGCTTCAGCTCAAATAACTGCAAACACGCGGTCTACTGTGGCCTCAACCGAGGCTTAAATAGGCTGAGTAGGTGTGGTTAACCCTGCTTAAAGCTCCGCCCTAACCGGCAATTAACCACTTACCTTCCTTCACACGGGTGCAACATCCTGCAAACTCTAATTACTAGGGGCACAACTACCTGACTTGGAGAGTCAGGGAGGGTGTGCCATTGGGCGTGGCCTACTTAAACCACACCTCGCAGTAAAACTCCTCCAACATTAATTAGGGGTCTTAAGCCCCACCTATGGGAGCAGTCTACTGATTAATTGCGGGGGGTGGTTCTGGTGCCAAAATATCACGCCAAAACAACTCTCCACTATTTACTCTCCTCAAAGACAATCATTATAATAAACAATGCACTACAAATGCATTACATAACAGTGTGCTAAACAATAGAACTGCAGTTCATTGGGTGGGGCCTACGGCCGGTTCACAGACTGAGAGTGACTGGTTGCCGACTTAGCCAGAGAGGTTGATACGGCAGCCCACACAGTAGGGGGGGTTTGAATATATATTTGGTAGGCTTCTGACCGCCATCGGCCCAGTACTTTGATGAGATGGTCGGGGACATTTGCCTGGGCTGCTGCTGTGGCTGCCCCTATCCTGAAACTGTGTCCCGAATATTGCTGGCTATCAATGCCCCGGCTGGACAGAGCATCTCTAAGGAGCCTCACAAACTGGTCCCTTGTCAGGGGGTTGCCATCCTTGTGAATAAGAAGGGGGCCAGATATGGGGCCTGGGCGTCTCGACAAGAACTGCAGCAGAGACTCTACTGGGCAGAGGTCGGAGCCTGTCTTACCGAAATTACAAATGAGCCTTTGCCAAATGGATCTGTATTGGACCTCTGTAGGGCTATTCTAATCGATGTCGGGGCGGAGTGAGAATCCACTGCAATGCTGTCTGCAGTTATGCAGTACCAGGAGTAGAAGTAACTTCCCCCATATGCATAAAACCAAAAAATGCCAGGCAGGCAGCTGTCCAAAGCAGCAGGTGGAGAAAGAAATTATCTTCTCCCCATACCAGCTTCAGTTGTTGCAGCAGATCCGGGGTGATTGGCAGCTGGGGCCTAGCTG